GCCACTTCATACAACAACATCGGCAGTATGTATGAGCATATGGGAGAGTACTCGCAAGCACTTTTATCTTACGAAAAAGCACTTGAAATTCAAAAAAAAACTCTTTCTGCAAATCATCCCGATTTGGCTACTTCATACAGCAACATCGGTTCGGTATATGACGAAATGGGAGAGTACTCGCAAGCACTTTCATCTCACGAAAAAGCCCTAGAAATTGATCAAAAGACTCTTCCTCCAAATCATCCTGATTTGGCTACTTCATACAACAACATTGGTTTGGTGTATGAGCACATGGTAGAGTACTCGAAAGCACTTTCATATCACGAAAAAGCACTTGAAATTCGAGAAAAAACTCTTTCTTCAAATCATCCTTCATTGGCTACTTCATACAACAACATTGGTTTGGTGTATGACGAGATGGAAGAGTACTCAGAAGCACTTTCATATCACGAAAAAGCACTTGAAATTCGAAAAAATACTCTTCCTCCAAACCATCCTGCTTTGGCCACCTCATACAACAATATCGGTCGTGTGTATGAGCACATGAGAGAGTATTCAAAAGCACTTTCATTTTACGAAAAGGCACTTGAAATTGATCAAAAAACTCTTTCTTCAAATCATCCTGATTTGGCTACTTCATACAACAACATCGGTAGTGTGTATAAGCACAAGGGAGAGTACTCGCAAGCACTTTCATATTACGAAAAAGCGTTGGAAATTCGAGAAAAATCTCTTCCTCCAAATCATCCTTCATTGGTTACTTCATATAGCAACATCGGTGGTGTGTATAAGCACATGGGAGAGTACTCAAAAGCACTTTCATATCACGAAAAAGCACTTGAAATTCAACAAAAAACTCTTTCTTCAAATCATCTTGATATGGCTATTTCTTACAACAATATCGGTTGGCTGTACGAACACATGCGAGAGTACTCAAAAGCACTTTCACTTTACGAAAAGGCACTTGAAATTGAGCAACAAACTCTTTCTTCAGATCATGCTGATTTGGCTACTTTATACAACAACATCGGTAGTGTTTATAAGCACATGGGAGAGCACTCAAAAGCACTTTCATATCACGAAAAAGCACTTGACATCCGACAGAAAACTCTTTCTTCAGATCATGCTGATTTGGCTACTTCATACAACAACATCGGTAGTGTGTATAAGCACATGGGAGAGTACTCAAAAGCACTTTCATATCACGAAAAAGCACTTGAAATTCAACAAAAAACTCTTTCTTCAAATCATCCTGATTTGGCTACTTCATACAACAACATCGGTAGTGTGTATAAGCACAAGGGAGAGTACTCGCAAGCACTTTCATATTACGAAAAAGCGTTGGAAATTCGAGAAAAAACTCTTTCTTCAAATCATCTTGATTTGGCTAATTCGTACAACAACTGCGCTGATTTATATTGTGGTATGAAAGACCATTCGAAAGCACTATCATATTTTGAACGTGCCGTGGACATATACCAGCGTGTATTACCTGCAGTTCATCCTGATATAAAAACTGTGAAGAACAATATTGATATTGCAAAAAAATTATAAAGAATGGTTGGTAAATAAATAAAAGAATGTTTTGTTCACTCGTTTTTTGAAATTAATCCTAGTTTGTATTGATTCGCGCGCGCGTAAAGAGAACAACTCTGTAAATAATAAAAACGTGATGGACGAAGCCGAGTGGTAATGTAATACTAATACATTTGTATGTATATAAATGACCTTTTCAGACATATTTACATTTCTAATTCTTTATGAGATTATTCCTTTTAATAAGAAAAAGAAAAAAATATTACCTTAGATAGTAACCGTGAAAGAAAACGAAATCGCAAACAATAAAAAGAAGAAAAACGTATCTGAAATTGAATTGTATTAGTGTCGGATGAGACCTCTTATGATGAAGAAAAGGTTAAAAGCTGTAATAAATATAAGGATATGACATTAATGCATAGTCTAACTGAATAGTTGAGTTCAAGTTTCAAGTTTTGCGTTTATGGAGATATAGAAGTAGATCAGTTAAATTGAATGTATTAAACAATGAAATTTATCTATTTTATATAGATAACAACTGAATTTTACAATAAAATAACAATCTAAAAGTTTACTATGAGGCTTTCGAATCACGAACAATGCACGTTTTTTAATTGTCCAATGCAGAACGAGTTCATTATTTATTCATAGTTAGAACTCAGTAAGAGAAGTAAAAGCTGAAAATAATACGGACCTCTATCTTGTCTCTGTAGAATTATGATGGTTTTACTAAATTTTCAACCATACAATGATGGGTATTTTTCATTAGTAAAAATTAATCGTAGCACATTAAATAGTTTGATAACACCATGATTAGTTCAGAAAAGTTCAGTATTATTTTTCTGAACAGTTACCCTACATTTATTACAGTGGGATTCGAATATTTACAAATAAATCATTTGCTGTACTCTACTTCATCAGTCTCATAGTATGATGCGTCGATCTTTTCGAAATTTTTAATTACTTTTATCATGAAAACACACGCTTAATATAGAATGATGCCAATAAGAATCTGTTCTGATGAAAAGAGCTCCCAATACGGAGAGACGCTTAAAAGAAAATTATTAAAGGACTTCGAACATGTGGTGGAATATAGAATTGATCAATATGCATAGATGATTATAGTTAAAAGATGAAGATGGTTTGTCGACACGGCATATTAAAAACTTGATCATGATATGTTGTTTCTGGTTTTTATAGAAGAGTATGGGTACGAGTGTGCGTATCATTTTCGTATTGGCACCCACACCACACTCACACCCACCCTCGAAATTCTCTTAAATCTTCTCAGTGAATAGATCACATATGAACAAATAATTGTATTATTTTTTCTCTAATCGAACAAATAATTTCAATGTATAGAAGACTTGACGTCGAAGGAAAATAAATAAAGACGAATAATGAATAATAGAATACTTAAACAAATGATAGATTTTTGTTCAGACTGTTAATGCTTTTGTTTTCTTTATCGACGACGATTTCAAATTAATCTAACAAAGTTTTAATTTCGAGATAAATATTGAGAAATATGTCTGAATACTAATTTCGAAGTTAATTATTATTTATTGAGATTTTATTGAATATCGTATCGTTATGCTTCAAACTATAAAATGCTTTTTCGATTGAAGTAACTTTGATCATTTTTCTTATCGAATAGTTCTTGGCCTAGAAAAAAGAAATTTAAAAAAAAGTAAATTAGTACTTCTCGATAAAGAAACGAATTTTCTCTTTATTGAGCAAAGTTAACGTAGGATATCTTAGCTCCCGATTCGAGTATTTCCTTTCCCGATTCGCTTCAGAGCTGATGCCAACTCTGGTCTCTCTGGTGCCAAGTAGAACTCGAC